ACCTGTTGAAAAGTAGCAGCCGAAAAAAAAAATGTTGTCGAGTAATTGGTGGAGTTTCTGATGATGCTACTAGAGCAAAATCTTGCTGGGGGATTAAAGGAGTCGTTATTGAATTAATATGTTGTGAAGTTATAGAAATTAACTCCGGTGTCACTAGAGTTGGGACTTACTTGTTGAAGTGTTAAAAGAGGAATTGTTGCTGGATCAAGGACTCGTCGAGAATCTGAAGAAAGCGTCTCTGATGAAACATGATTTTGATGAGTTGATACTGGGGTAAGAATTGGTTGGCGGATTAAAGAAGAGATAGTGGTTGGAAGCCATGGTTGAGAATGATCTTGTGGAGGTAAGCCAGATAATCGCGAGAATTGTAGCGTATTTAGCGGATTATTTGCCATTTGATAAAGTAGGGATTTGGAATAATTTTGAGCAGATAAGAACGGTTAATAAAATTTATTATGTGAAAACGAGAAAAAAAATATGGAGAGAAGGTGTCTTTTTATACAATTATTTATTCCCTATGTTTATAATATTCATATTTATTTTTTTATTTTAGAACATAGTAAATTTTAATTACGCGCGTCCGAATGCAAAATTTTTTAGTTGAATGCGCAATGCAATCCTTATTATAATACAATTATATAATGCATATATTGTACAAAAAAAAAAAAAAAAAAACTTTTTTACAGTCAAAAACTATTTTTTCTTTACACTGTATATGAGATAGTAAACTAAAGTTCCAGATACAGTTATTTTATCGATTGAAAGTTTTCCCATTAGGTAATATTCGGTTTATAGAGTTCGGCCAATTTATTTAGCGAATGCTTGTTGACAAAAATTAATATTTGTTCCCATTATAAAGATATATTTTTTATTGGGGTCAATATACAGTATATTGTGTAAAAGCAGGACCTTGCAATAATCAGTATTCTGAAAAAAAAAGTTTATGATAGTATATTGTTATAATATTGAATACATCCGATTATTTTCTCAATACATTATATACGTACTACAGTATGTAACCTATTAACAGAGATGTGTAATAATCCGAACTTTCGTTTTTAATGTGTTCAATTTAAAGACAAAGTCATATAGATCATATCCAATAAAAGCCTAAAATAGCAAATGTACACTTGCACATGTATTCATGATCTTTAGCCAAGGTGTTTTCCATCCAATTCTGATAATATTATCACCTCAAGATCCAATGCAGTTAGAGTAGGGTTCAGCCACATTTCTCTTCATGTAATATAAAACAAAAATGTTAAATCATTAGGCATGCCAAATGTTACGATATACTTACGTTACCATGAATCAAAATTAATTTTTCCCAAACAGTTACTATTGATGCTTGCAAATCACAACAATTATTACATGCAGGATGCACATAATGCTCATTTTGTGAGAAAAAATTTTACTTTATATTTCTTATTGAAATTTATGTAATATCTGTGCACAGTATAGGAGAATTTGCAATTATTTTTCAATACATTCATCGCTCATGCTTTTGGCACAAACAAATGTTTTGTGACATCATAATTCAAAAAAAAAAACGATTTGTGAGTAGTGCCGGGTTATGGGCTTTGCCTTTTGTCAAAGTGGACGGTTTTGTTCATTATCTCGGGAAAGCCTCAAATTTATTCGTAAATTGAAAATACGAAACAGTAATCAAAATGCATGTTCAGTTATTTTATAGATTCCATTTAATATCCAAATATAACTCCATTGCCAGGGAAATAAAATCTTTTCAAATGTAGTCGCGAACTTCTGACTTTCATTTTTTAAGTTTGATCAGATGGTAAAGAAATTTGTTTGTCTTGAAATAATCAGCAATAATACACATATTATTATCGTTTTCTTTTCTTTTCTTTTTTTCTTTTAATCGGTTTTCCATTTAGGGAACAAATAAAGAAAAAAGCTTACTGCTTGGCTTGTATAGCGAATCTCGAATTTAAAATATGTCGTTAGATATCATGTCATTTGTTGGTTCTGTTGTTGTTGCACATTATTATTTACTGTATCTTATATTTTAGAGTTTAAAATCTTTATTGATTTTCTTTACGTATTACGTACAAATATGCGGTAGATACACATGAAAATCATACACACGTACTGTACTACTCAATAATTATTTATTACAGTATATTGTTTGTATTGTCCGAGAAGCTGGGTCAAGAAACGGGTTGCAATTATAAAATTCTCAACGCCCGTTTTATTTTTTAGGAATCTAATCCCAACATCAGGACACATTCACAAACTCGTGCGTATTTTATAAATGCCAGTAAATCTTGACATACTGTAACATTCGAATTAATTCGTGCATTATGGGCTTCTGAATCAAAGGATAGAAACATAATGTAACTGTATTCGTACTTTTTTATGTTCACCAATTTTTATGTGACTAGTGAACACATGAAATAACAAATTTGCATCGGATAAAGCATTAATAATCTCTGGATAATTGGTTTCCGGTTTGTTTATATAAATGAAGTTGCAATAAAAGTTATATTATGATATACAGTACTATACTGTAATTAAAATTTATTTGTACATTAAATGTTTTTACTTATAGATTAAAAAATTCATTTATTGACTCACTAGAGCAGGTTAATAACAAATAAATCATTGCCTCAGTGTTTATGTTTTCAATGGGTAATAGCAAAGTTGTATAACTTGTGCAGAATAATTTTTTTCCTTTGGAATCATCTAAATAATCTACTGTTGTATATTTAAGTGCAAATTAAAATATAATGATAAAGTTAAGATATTGCATTTAACTCGATTTTGGACAAATCCCGATATAACGACCACCGTAAAACGAGAAGGTTTATTAAGTTCTTGTAAATTAAGCCAATTATATCAACCAAAATTTGCCTTGCTGTATTATTATTATTATTTTGTGATCCAAACTTTCGTATTGCTGTATTTTTTACAATTATTTTTTATTATTCACCAAATAGATGGATATTGTACCTAAAAAAATTTGGACAACGTTTTTCCTGTGTCCACACGTGCGGTGCCCTTGTTTTCCCTTTGTTCGTGGCTACGCCCGTGGGAAAACTTGAACAAGCTTAAACCTCGTCTGCCCCGTTGTACGTGGACGGCTCCCCAAAATATCCTCATAGAATATATCTTCTTTGTATTACGATGATTTTATATACGTAAGTTATTTTTTAATAAAGTATGTTATCTTATGAAATTTAATTTACAATTGTGGCGGTTCGGAGTAGCAGCTCAAACACCGTTTTGTGCAATGTTAAAAGGAGTTCATTCGCTTATTAAACTCATACGATTTTAAGGTTTTTCCAGATCTTTCAAAGCGCCACTGTAGCCACTCTCCTTAAATAAGTATACCATTTAAATTGTTAGGATCATTATTTAAATTTTTTTTTATAGGATTAAAATATGCGGCATAGGTACTGTATATATATGTCTCTTTATATACGCTCTTGTTGATAAGGCCGTGCACTCTCCTAAAGTATATACCCGATGCCCGTGTAATATTCAAAAGAATTTTATTTAGGACAAGGTAAAGCCTTCATGGGTTTCAATTAAAATAAACACGAATTCCCATCCAAATAGAACAAATTAGTTCTGAATTAGGGTATAAAGTTTTGTGTATTGCATCGCCTGTAAGAGTATTCAGACCATTTTGTTACATGTTATCCCTGTTTATGCCCCTTAAACTATGCATACGCTCCCAAGTATTGCATATTGCAAGCTGCGAAACAGACCTCATAATGATTAATGGTGAAATGAATTCCATTTTACTTTGAAAAATTACTGCCATAAATAATACGGATCCTTCACGGTTTTGCACGACACAATTGATATTTCTAAGCTTCTTGCTTGCTTATAAAGTATACAATCTGCATTTCGTGAAATGATTTTACGCCAAAAATTTGTTTCACATGCACTATTCCCGAGTGTTTGTTGAACACACATGGAGTTCCACTACCCATTGCACGTGCAGCTAGATGCATAGTAATACCAATTTGTTGTTACTTGGACGTTAAACTCAAATAAGTTTTATATAAAACCATATAATATCGATATGAATAATGTTGACAACCGAAATTGTTCGTAACGCTAATGCTAAAAGGCAATATACGATGATATCTGATATCAAAATCAGTACATTACAAGACTTGATAGCGTTTTATATAATCAACCCTTCACTATCTTATTAACGTGCACAACGGTCATATTGCGTTTCTAATAGCAAAGTTGTTTAATCATAGACTAGGGTTGTTTTTCAAGCATCTCAGTCATCTGCTCCTCTAAATGTTTATCAATTTAAATCTTTTGTTTCAACAGCAACGATATAAATTTATGGAGTCATTAGTAAAAGTTACTTTACAACAACATGGGTATAATTTTATTTGTCTTTTTTAAAAAAACTTCTAGCATTAAAATAAAATAGCAATTTTCTGGATCGGTCACAAATTGTTATGAATTCACAGATTTTTCATAGAAATGATAACATCCTCCATTCCTTTATTCTATTTCTGACTAATTAAAAACAAGTCCCCAATCCACTAATTGAGATGCTTATAACAACCTATTGTTGTAGTCACCGGCATGTCTGTCGCTAACTTCGGCTTCTCTTCGCGTGACGATAATCCGAACGCCCGGATTTTGACACTAAATAAGGTAAGGCTTTAACCCTGAGGCGGGTTGATCTCTTACATTTGCCAATCTCTTCTTGATTGTCTCTCTAGGCGCGTCTCAAGATTACAAGTGCCATTCTCTACATGATACAAAGGTAACGTTGATGTCTTCCTATGGTCATTTTATTTTCTACTGTGGCGCTAATCCTGGTTTATTATTATGGTGAGTATTATTCTGCGAAGTAAAATAGTATTTATTTACTAAAACGCGAGAGAGAAAAAAACTATTTTATTTGTATTCTTGTTGATGCGTCCACCCAGCTATAGCCATGACCAACTAATTACATAATTTTGCTAGCATTTCCCATTGTTACACTAATAAAAGACACGCTAATAAAAAGTTGATAGGACTTTTAAATGTGCAATAATATAATGAATGTATAATAACGAGGGTCAAAAAAATAACGACTTAATATATAACATGTGGCTATTTCATGGCAGAGAACTGATTACACGAAATTTATTAATATCTATATTCTTTAGTAGAAATGATGTAATTGCAACTGAAATTTCCGAAAATGAATTATTTTGATACATGTCATAATCAATGGTACTGTTAGGGGAGTGTCATATATTACGTAATTATTGAAGGGGGGGGGGGGGTTTTCAAATATCTCACCTCTCACGTGATTATAGGCAATGATCGACGCACATGTAATGCGTAACTTT